AGCAATGAAATATCATTATCCACCACAACAAATATATCTTTGCCAAAATCCAATATTACAAACCCCTCTCAATGTGAACAAATGTCTATTACTAATGACCCAAAGATACCGAAAAAAGTAGATGCCTCAAAAAAGGACTGTCACATAATTAATCAACCAAAATGTAGCTTGATGAAATTATTTTACCTAAATAATGTAACGTGTAACAATAATGTAACTACAAAACAATGTAATATTGTTCCAACACCTACAGTCCAAGCAAAAGCTAAAAAAACTAAAATTAGTTCAGCAAACACTTCACACGATTCAAGAATATACCAGAAACGCTAATTCACGTCCTTGGTGAAAACCTATACTGAAAAAAACCTATAATTACCTTGGTAATGAGGCATCGGACTGGTAAAGTGATAAATACCTCATTGAGAAAGACCGAACTAATAAAAGGTCAAGAAAAGTTCAGAAGAATCCACTTCCTGTGGATACCATCTTATATTGGTATAGAATTGAATGACCAAGCAGATACTAGTGCGCGTAACGCTATCACCAATGACGCATCAGAAAGAGAGTATCGGAGTGTCTCCTAGCAATCTAAAAGTTTATTTCAAAAATAATGTGTTAAGTGCGTGACATCGAGAGTGGAATGATTCCAGTTCTACAATCAGAACACTCAAAAGTGACATTTTTTCATGGAAGTCCACTGCCAGAAGTAGAAGATCTCAAATTATTATTACACGTCTACGACTTGGACACTGTAGTCACGCCTATCTCTTCTCAAATTAAGAACCTCCAAAATGCTAAACATGCAATATAGTAGGAAGTATAAAACACTTCTTGATAGGCTGGTCCTAAATATACAAAACAAAGACATTCATACAATTTTCCAAATCATTTCCAAAGCATTACTCGATAAAAATTTTGTTCCGGACATTTTATTAGGTTACTTAAAATTATAAACATGTTACTCAAAATTTAAGTTAAATTTGATTTAAATTAATTTAAAATTAATTAATTGTTACAATTGTGTTAATTTAATATTGTTATAGATATTACAGGAATGTCGCTAATAATCTTTGGGGCGTCTTTGTCTTTTTTAAACAAAACAAATATATTTGACTATTGATAAATTTGAAATTCTATTTTTAAGTGCTTTTTTCCTTGTTTGTATTATTTTATTTAAAGCTTTACTTATTTTAGGCAAATACGGATGCGATGTGTGCGGCAAATCTTATAAAAATTATCCGTCGCTGTGGAGACACAAAAAACACGAATGCAACCGTCCAAAAAGTTTTATGTGCAAGTACTGTCTTAAAATGTTTCGACAGCGATATGATGTCAAAGTACACGTTAGAAATTTACATCCAGAAAAAGTTGATGAGTTTGATAGAGAATATTCAACTATTTTTAACTGTAATAGTAAATTTTATTTAAATAGCTAAAAATGATGTATTGTAGTAATAAATATACTGGATGATGAATAATATTCTTAAAAAGACGAATGTTTATATTTTGTTCTCAAAATATTGTTGATAAATAAAGTTATTATTTATAGTTTCTGTATTTTTTAACTGTAGTAGCCAGTTTACTAGTGTATGCTTCAAAGAATTCTCTGATTGTTATTTTTAAATGGGCGGTCCCCTTTTATTACTTTTTTATGTTTGACGTCATCTATATGAGCCAGATAACGTTACTTGCCAAAAGGCAAGTGTATATGTCTATAGTGCTACGCAAGTATCGCATTTGGAAAAAAAGGTAACGTCAAAAAACATTTTAATAGTACTCATCCGAAAATTAACACAGAATATCCCGCCAATAGTAGCATCCGAAAAGAGAAAATTAAACAGTTGAAAAATCAATTAGTTAAGCAGCAGTATGTATTATTACAAGTCGGCGATAAAACTAAAGCCACCACTCTATAGTGTATTTTTATGTATGAGAGAGTAATAAAACAATAAATTATGTATGCAAATCCCTAAACTGTTGATACGGGTGACTCAATGAAAAACAGATATTTGTCAACAAGTTTACAGAAGTATATAGGAAAACAATTTTAAATTGAGTATGACCACCAGGTATAAAGGTTGGAGCAGAATAGAATACAATAGTTGTGAGGGTTACTAATCCCTAAATAAGGTTGCCAGTGTCGGAGTGATGGAGGTTAACAGGTACTAATGAATTTGCAAGAAATGTAAGATGTTTATTTTATTGGTTATATATAACCAATAAAAGTTTAATAAGTACCTACCTATTTGCAAAATAAAGTTTAATTCTTTAGATAAAATAAAACGTTTTATTTTATCTGAAATGAGTGCATTCCACGAAGTAAGGGTTTCAACAATCAAACATTTAATTCTTTAATTCCAGGAATCTACGACAGTAATTGACTAGATAATTACCTTCTAAACTTATTCCACAGAAAATGTGATAGTGGGTTTTTCCATTTTGTAGGAAGGTCCAAGTGGCGTATTCAAAATTCTTAACAGTTCACTAAAAGTAGGTACTTCAGTTGCAAGGTGCAGTTTATTGTGTATACTAGTGTTATGGAAAATTTGGAAGTGCCGTGTAAACGCCGAAAAATTGGTCCTTTAACAGTTAATGAAAAAACATTAATATTTAATTGTTTTAAATCATTTACAGACAAACGTTTATGTGAAAGTGTTGATGAGACCGTTGAGTTAGTTAGCAGTACACTTGGTGTTGGGAAATCTACGATTTACAGAGTTATTAAAGAAGAGAAATGTGGTAGTTTTCAAATGCCACGTAATGCTCCAGGGAAACCAAAATTTCAAATAGAATATCATTTTAAAGAAGGACTTCGACGGAAAGTGCATGAATTCTTCTTTAGACAAGAATTTCCAACATTGGATAAAGTTCTTGTCTCAGTTCGAGATGATAAGGATTACCCAGAAATGAGTCGAAGTACGTTATGGAAACTTTTAAAAGAAATAGGCTTCCGCTGGAAAAAGAATCCCAGAAAGTCTATTTTATTAGAAAGAAGCGATATTGTCATATGGAGAAGACATTTTCTAAGAACCATAAAGGAAATGAGAAACCAAAAAAGAAAAATATTTTATCTTGATGAAACATGGATCAACGAGGGTCATACACCAAATAAATTTTGGCAGGATGAAACTGTTACAAGTCAAAGGCACGCTTTTGTAAATAACTTATCTACTGGTTTAAACCCACCATCAGGAAAGGGACGCAGGCTGATAATAGTACACATTGGCAGTTCAGACGGTTTTGTTGAAGGTGGTTTATTAACTTTTGAATCAACTCGTACCGGTGACTACCATGAAGACATGAACGCTGATGTCTTTCAAGAATGGTTCGAACAAATGATAGATCTTCTTCCTAAGAACTGTGTAATAGTAATGGATAATGCAAGTTATCACTCCAGACTTATAGAAGGACTGCCCACAACCAAGTGGTTAAAAAAAGACTTGCAGAATTGGCTGAGTTCAAAAAATATTACGTACCATCCCGGATCTATAAGAAAGGAACTTTATTCGTTGTGTGCCCTTCATAAAGAAAAATTTAAAAAATACGAAATTGATGAAATTGCCAAAAATCGTGGAATGACAGTACTTAGATCCCCACCATATCATTGTGAATTAAACCCGATTGAACTGGTATGGGCACAGATAAAGAGTGAAGTTTCAAGAAAAAATACCACTTTTAAAATTCATGATGTTAAACAGTTGTTTTTGGAGGCCGTAAATAATGTAAAACCTGAAAACTGGGAAAAGGCAGTAAATCACACTATTAAAGAAGAGGAAAAAATGTGGAAGCTGGACAATATTACTGATAAAATGATCGAGCCAGTTATTATAAATCTTGGTTCTGAAAGTTCATCTTCTGAATCTGATTTGGATTTGTAACAAGTAGCTGTAAGTTTTATATTAATATTTTTATTCATCTATTTAACATACCTTAGACGGTTTTAAAAACTCTTTTTCTCTTTTGTAATTTTTAAAAATTAAAAAAAATGTGAATTTTTTAAAACCCTTTTTAATGTAGGCCAGTCAGTTCTAATATAGTGTGTGATAAAAGAGGTCACTTTTGTTTACATACACATAACACTTTATAACACTGAAATAATTCATTTATTTTTTACAATTATTCAAAGTAATTTTTCAATTAATCTTGAGCACGCCCATGGAGTGGTCGGAGGTACCAGTTAAAATTATGCTAATTACTCTCTCGTTCATAAAAATAAACTATAGCTTTGCAGAGAAGACAGTTCCGAACTCTAATTGCAGAAATAAATCTAGAATTGGAGAATTGCTTCTGCATGCAGAGATACGCTCGTTAAGCAAGGGAAAGATTCTTCGGCGCATTTATGAAGAAAAGTGATTTAAAAGCTTCAATCGCTTTTCTTAAGGAGCGTAAAGAAGACTACTTAACATTAGAAGAACCCGCATGGTTGAGAGAGTTTGGATTCTTGACCAATGTTACAGGCAAGCTGAATAAACTAAATTTGTAGCTTCAGGGGAAAGAAAAAAGTAGTCTTCAAATGATTTCCGAAGTAAAGTAATTCATTGCGAAACTTGAACTATGGGAAAAAAATCTATATATATATATATATATATATATATATATATATATATATATATATATATATATCCGGTTTTTTAGGCGTTACGCCCGTCCGGTAGGGATCTATGGAGGAGTATCACCAAGCCGCAAGCCCTTATCTCTTGCCGTACTGCTCCACCATCACCATAGGCCGATCAGATCCCAGCATATCCTAGTCTAAGCCGCAGATTCATCTAGAATTTTAAACTGCTGCGTTAGACTTTTTGTTTTTAGTACACCGAGCTGGGACTCGAACCCACATCCACTGAACCATTCGACAGTGAAGCGAATGAGAGGTAGCCGCACAGCCCGCTGAGCTATCTGACCGACCGAAAAAAATCTACTGGAAGGAAATTTAAAACATTTTCCTTGTTTAAAAGAAGTAATCGAAAAAGAAGTAGTAAACGTTCAACCTTACACAGGAGAGGGGCATATAGAAATGTTGACCAGACTGAGGCATGAATTCGATACCCGATTTAGTGACTTCAACAAAATTGAAGCGATTGCTCAGTTTGTATCTTATCCGTACATGCCCCTCGATGCAGAAAGCTTATCCCAAACCATCGAACAGCATTTCAGCGAAAGCAGACCAGAGACTGAATTAGAAATAGTCACACTGCAGAATGATTTGTGTTTGAAGAGCGTTGCCGGAAAAGAAAATTTTTGGTGTCTAGTGTCCAAACAGAAATACCCAATCCTAGTCAATGTAGCTTTGAAAATTAGTGCCCTGTTTTGTTCCACCTACCTTTGTGAATCAACGTTTTCAAACATGAAGTTCATTAAAAACAAATACAGAAGCCGACTAACGGATGAACATTTGGACTCGTGTATTAAACTAGGAATAACAAACTACCAACCGGATGTTAAAAAACTAACAGACATGATGGACTGTCAATCCTCCCATTAAAACAAAATACATATGTATTTTTTTTTCACCATGTTTAGTTTTTACTTAAATCTAAAACATGTTTTAGTTAATCCTACAAGGGAAGATCGAAGGTAGGAGAGGAGCCGGCCGCAAACAATTATCCTAGTTAAGGAATATTAAAGAATGGACAGGAATACACAATACAGGCGAGCTGTGTCACGCCGAAAAGAACAGAATTCTAGTAATGAGATAGTCGCCTACGCACTTTGGTGTATCGCATGTTAAGAAGAAGAAGAAGAAGTTTTTACTTCCTGTTCTCTTAAGTGTACATCTATAATAACGGTTTTTAAAACAAGGTAGACCTTTGTTGCTTGGAATTTTTTTTAGTAGCTCTTTCCTGTAGTGTGGTTGCCGACCCCTGATCTATATCTAGTATCTCGCATATACTCAACTTTAGTCTTCTAGGTGAAGAGGAACTTTCTAGTCTTCTGTTTAGCTGAGGTTGGATAAGTTGAAATGCCAGTTTTTTAATAAAATTGTGCCTTTCTAAATGAATATTATTTTGAAAAGACTCATAGTACTTATATCAAACATTCTAAAAATATAGCCATAGGCCAACGGCGAATTCGACGAATGCTTGTAAAGTTGCCTCATTTTTCGTCCATTGAATCGATACCACCCTTGTAGCAGCACCGACACGGTGTTGCTAGATCCAGCACTGTTCTCTCATTTCTGTCTTCGGGATTGTCAAATCGCAAACATGACAAAAACGCACATCTCTCTTTTGACATAATGCATCTCATTATGTCTCTACTATTTCCATTAGTAGCAAGAATAGTATCTTAGTTTTCATTGTTTGATTTAAATAAGCATGTAAATGGCTAAAAATCCCAAAAATGCGTGAAGTTCTGTCATGTCAAGGTCTTTGAGGGAAGGTGAATTTTGATTTTTGTACTTGGTTTTTTTTGCCGATTTTCACATTCGTCCATCTAAGAATTATGTTGCAAATATTATCACTGAATTATAACTTTCAAACCTGCAAAGGGTCTACACTATCCCCTATTTTAGCTACATGGCGTAATCCAGGTAACTGTAAAACTATATTCTTCTGTGGACGCCGGCCTCTATTTGAAGTGTGAGGATTTTTTGACCATTTGTATCTATTTCTTCCTTAGAAATAATTCTTTGTCTCCTCTGGATCCTCTTCTTCACTGCTTTGGTCAACATTATCTTCTCTATAAGTCTGTTGTACTTCATTTTCATTTTCTGAATCTAAAAAGAGAACTTTAGGTAATGCTATACTATGCGATCTACCGTCGCCTTTCTACTATAGCTTACGCTCTACCCAGGGATGCAGTGTATACGCTGTATTCGACAAAAAAATCTTTACAAAGTGAATAAAACGCATAAATCATAAGAATTTCTATTTTAATTTTACAAATCAATACTTTTAATAAATAATTCTTCTACATTATGCGTTTTATTCACTTTGTAAAGATTGTTTTTGTTGGTATTGTATACATGCGCTAATCACCATATTTTTTTCTCAGAAGGGTTTGCAAAGAATAATGAAAGGCACCTTTGTAGACGAAATTGTTTATTGCTAAGTATAATAAACATTTATACTACTATTATTTAGGAATATAAAATAAACTATATACAAATAACACCCTAATCTTTTTCCAGTGTATGCACAAATATAAACCCCTCTTTTCAAATAACATGGCCTGGTAGATTTACTTTCATTTTATTTTACATTGATTTTGCTCCAAATGTTTATTACTTGTGAATAAATAATTTTTTCTACAAGATTTTTCTTGCATCTCATTATTTTGTGCATCAGGTAGATCACACCCTCGAGGTAGACCGCACACTACAGTAACACCGAACTTTAGTACAATACATACATAATAATTCCAAGAGATTTGACTTACCCTCTATTTCCGATTCCGTTTCGTGATCGCTGTCAATAGCAACATTTCCTTCATAAATTGATTTAACTTCGCTTATGTCGTCATCTACGTCATTAAGCCATTTCAAAAGAGTTTCCTCATAGTTTTTATCCCCATATTTGACCTTGTTTTGACGTACTGGGTCCCTCATCCATTTTTAGGTAAATAGTAAATAAATACGAACACTAATAACCGGTCTAGTACACGGAAATCACACGTTGAATCTAAATATCTTTAGAATAACAACCTGCAGCAAACTGCCGATCTCAATACTAATAAATAACAACCCAACTTGAAAAGTCAAAAACAGGCGACCTTCAAGAGACACGGGGCGTTAGTACTGAAGGGTTGAAAATCCGTCACTTTAGAAAAATCCTAAAATCCACGATTTGTGTTTTTTCGGGTGTTCTGTCGGATTATTTTATCCTAAAATCCAGTCTCTGTATTTTTTCCTGGCATGCTGTGGGATTATTTTAAAATTATTTTAAATGTGGTTTTACCGAAGAATATTACTGAAGCCTGAGAGCTCCAGGATATTATTTGCTGAGTAAGCAGATAAAAAAAAACAAAATGTTTCCATTATTAAATAAACCAAGTAAAACAATAGTTTTATCTCTGCCAAATAAACCCACCGAAAGGCATTAGACATTGTTGTATTGAAATGGCACTTAATGCTTGGTCGAGGTCACATGAACCACAAAAGACATTGTTCTATGTTCTCTGATAAACTTGTGGATTCGTGCCCACCACTACTCATCTCTCATCATTTTCTTTACCATTTCTCTCACGGCATCAAACATTCTACAGTTACATTTTATTTCGAATGTCTCTCTTTTATCCGCCCAACGCTCGCACTATAACATAGTGTGTATCATAGTATCCAAAAGAACACAGTAAAGGCACTGATCAAACTGTGCCCTCCCAAACCTGAAAAGGAAAATGGCCTGTTAATATTTTCGTCAAGTAATAACCCAGCTGCTTATACCCACAGTTCACTCTGTTTCGAAGGTTGGGGATTAGTGACTTCGTCTACTTGGCCACATCAATTGTTGCCTCCCATCCTTTCTGCCACTGATCGATTGAAACTAATCTCTCCAGGACCAGCCTTATGATATTCATCTCTCCCTCTCAAATGTTTCGCCTCCTACGACTATGAGTCCTAAGCTAAACAGGTTGATGCTAAGGACGGCTTGACTTTGGTTGTCAACCGACACTCGTGTTTCATTAATATTCTTTCGGCATGTGAGACTGCCAAAACTGAATTTCCCTTCTTTAACTTCTCGTAGGACAACAATAGATCTAAAAAACACAAAGAACCCTCAATCATTGAGGAACTATGAAACTGGATCTCCTTAAACCTTCACCAGCTGATATAATGTTCTAGGATTCTGGTATGGGTATCACAAATAAATGGAAGTACTATAGACCCATGGGCTGCAGTACAATCGGTTTATGACAGACGGTTTCCGTGAAAGCCCCGTTCCAAATTACACTTAATAGCAGACGCTAAAACCTATCCAAAAGCCCCAAATATACCTTTTAGGTTGCATTATGGAATGATCTATGAAGTCAAACGACCTCCTTGTCTAATATTTATAATTGTACCAAATAAAGCATCATCGACACTCTCTTTTTCTTCTTTGGGTGCCGTCTTCTTAGCGAAGGTTGGCGATGACATCTGCAAAGTCTTCCTATTTTGGGCTTTCCTTATTAAACTTTGAAAGTCTAATCCTATCCAATCTTTGATGTTGCGCAGTCAGGTGATTTGTCATCTACCCGGGCCGCGTCTGCTTTCTATTTTCCCTTCTATCGACACTCTCAAGCAAATAATTAACCTGCAACAAATGTTTACTTCGAATCACATACAAAAATTTCTGGAGTATAGCTCGAACTGTGCAACCAATACACTATAGACCCACAATGAAAGGAGTCCACCAGTCAGATGACTGAAACTTTTTTTTTAATTGCCGCATTGCCAGATTCCAGTAAGAGCCTAAGAAGGTATCCATTGAATTCTGGCAGACAACGGTGGGGGAAACTTTTTTGGACATCTACGTCACGGAACAAGACACCCTTACATCTTTCAGCCAAGTAGAATACTTGGCCAGAAGACCCTAGGGTAGTGCCGGATTAACCGTGTTCCGGCAAAAACCTTAACCACCGTTCCAGAGAGGTGGTCTTGCCACTCAATAAAAAACTAAAAATTTATAAATAACCATACCTATTACCGTAAATCAGAAAATGTTTAGACGTTAGGCCATAAACTAATAAATAATATTAACTATAAATTTTACATCCCTAGCTCAATTTCCTCTTCTGCCCTCCTGCTCCTTTTACTTCATCACCCTAGAAATCAAACAGTGTACTTCTCTCCATTCTTTATCTCCTCTCAACATTATGTTTACAATGTTTCTTTTATCCAGCTTGAAACCCATTCGCTTTTCGAAATCTCCCATCTCATTTGCCCATCTCTGACAATTAAAAATTTGGGCGGGAGCATCCGGTACCCCACAAAGAGTACAGTCTGCCGAGGCAGATTTTGCCTATTCTATTTGTGAAGGCGCCAAAACTACCATGTCCGGACAAAAACTGTGTCAGGAAGTAGTCCAGTTTCCTGAACTTACATTCCCACTACATTTCAGATCGGGAATAAGCTTCTTCGTCCACCTTGCTTTAAACTATCATTCGCCTGTTCTCTCTGTCACTTTACTATCGTTCTTTCTCTCTCATTCTCATCTAGATTTACATCCATCCTCCTAGCATTCCTCGCTCGCTCTTTATACAACAAAACGATCGGTATCAGCGCTCCAATGACATATAGAGCCTCATTTGAATATGTTCTATATGCGCTAGATACCCTGAGGAGCATTCGCCTTTGCGAAGTCTCCATCAACTTAGTGTATTTCGCACATTTGCACACAGGGGCAGCGTAGGTTACCACCGACTGGAAAACTCCATTTAGCACTTTCTTTTGGTGCTTCCTGGACCTCCAATGTTTGGCATTAGCCGTATTAACGCCTTCAGATTTCGGTTCGTCTTCTCTATTGTCTTTTAGATGTGTACTCCAAACCTTAGACCTTCCAACAACCAGACTCCCAGATACTTAATTGATTTTACCGGTACAACCTCCACAC